GCCAGCCCAGCTGGCTCTAATGATGACACCTGGGTGGGTGGCTGCCACCCTGGCCGAGAAAGCAGGGCCTAAAAGGGCATGGTGCAGACTCCAGGAGTGAATGCTGCCCGTGCTGCCGTGCCCCTTCGCCCCCTTCTCTGCCCAAGGACTGTAGGTTCCTTCCTGGCAGCCTGCACCTGCTCCACAGGTGTCCATCCTGTCCGGCCTTCTGCTGCCCAGTGTCCTTAGATGTGCGTCTGCTGCTCTAGTTTTACCAATAAGCCTTGTGTTTCCTTACAGTGCTGATGTCGAAGTGGCCAGATTTTGAGCTGCCCCTGACTAGAGTTAGTAAGTTGCCCTGGTTTTGTGTCCATCTGTGTGCATCTGCAGTGGCTATGGCTGGGTCCTTCGGCCTGAGTCTGGACAGCCTCCACAGGAGGGGTCCGCTGCCTGGCAGGGCCTGGGCTCTGCCAAGTTGCCTTGCTCTGGGCGCTGGGCCTTCTTCCACTGGTTCCCTCCTCCGGCTCGTGGTTCTCCTGCCTTCCTTCTGCCTGGAGGCTTGTGGTTCTAACTCTGGCCCATCACTGCCTTTGCTGCCGGATACGGGGCTGGCTCAGATCCGTTTTCTCCTGCCCTGCTGGGTGCTTCATCACAATTAAAGGGAGACCCAGGGGAACAGCCTCCCCCAATCACTCAGCATATACCTGGGTGTTCCTCTGGGATGTCGTGGGTGTTGGTCATGAGCCCAGCTGTTGAGTACCACAGCTGAACCAAGCCTGGGCCTAGCGTCAGGTGGACCTCTGTCATCAGATCTTGCCTCTCCTGGTTCTCTCCACTTCCTCACATGGCTACAAGACACTACTAGCCAGACTGCTTTTTCCCTTGGTGCTGGAGAAGTGGGCCAACATGGACCACCTGGGAGGAGGGCACTGCTTCACATTGCCCGCCATAGTGGAAGGGGTTTTTATTCCCTTCCCACACTACAGAGGGGTGGCATGAGAAGCCAGGACCTGTGTCCCTTAACAGGAGTGGTCATTATCTCCCTGAGAGTCACAGTGATGTATCCCAGCCCATGGGCAGCCAGTCCACTCAGGCAGACCCAGAACACCTTGCCCTGTTGTTACCATCTTCCTGGGTATCTGTGATGTGAATTCTGTAGGAGTTCTGCTGAAGTTTACAGAGAGGGTGAAATGCCCTTGGCTGACTCTGGGCTGGCCACCTTTCTCCGGCCTCTATCTGCACACCCAAGATGTTCTCTGGGTGGGAGGCCTACATTTCCTGCCCAAGCCTGTCAGACCCCCTACCTTACTGCCTTCTGGGTCCCACTAAGCCAGTTAGGGGCCATGTCATCCTCACCTGCAGAGGCATGAGAAAAGGCTCGGAAGGCTGGTGCAGCCCTTCCTGGGACCAGGTCCTTTTTGTGTGCTAGGACCAGGACTTGGGTGTGACAGACATAGGACAGAATAGGTTTGCAGACAGTGCTGTTGCATGGCCCCTGAACATTTCCCAGCCACAGTCTGCCTAGCCTTCCGACTCACCTAGCTGGGAGTGAAGGGGGTGTTCCAAAGCACTCACACACAGCTTCACTCTGAATTTAGGACTGCAGGAGGGTTGCTACCACCCTTGGCTTGGTTCTGGGGGGTGCTCTAGCCCTGTGTAGGTAGAAGAAATGGAAACTCACAGGTATGCACAGGTCCTCCATGAGGACTTGTTCTCGGCGGTGGCCAGCCTCGCATTGCATGGCTGTTGAGGAAAATAGTAAAGATGGAGCTGGGAAGGCAGGCTGCGCTGCTGCAGGGGGTTGAGCCTCTCTAGGTTTCTGGTCACAGTGCTGTCCATGGATGGGTGTCTGCAGAGCTGGGGAGAGAGCTGACACTGGCTGTTACCCAGCTGGTGTCCCATCATGCTGCCTCAGCCAAATCCATCCTGCATAAATGCCGTTTGTCATTCCTGGATCCAGGCCTGGATGTCTGGTCCTCCTTTTCTGTTGGTGCAGGTTCTGTTGTTGAGACCTGTCAATGTTGGTGATAGTTTCTGCTGGGCACAGCATGTGCTGGCCATGTCCCCCGCAGGTTAATTTCACTAGTCTGCTGAGTGTCTTTGAAAGGAAGCATGTCCCTGGATTCTGCTAACTGGAACATGTACAGAGCAAGACTTTGCTGTGACTTTGGCATCTGTGAATGGTTCTCTGTGCTCCAAATGGCCCCATGGCTTTGGGGAATGAGAGAAGAAAGTATTTGAGAACAGAGGGCCTCTTGGGTGGGGCACTCTGGATCTGAACTTCCATTCTAGTTCTAGCTGGTGATAGATTCTTTCGGTGAGTTAAGGAGCAAGGCAAATGGACAGGAATAAGGCATGTTCTGCAAATACCTCAGCCATTCTGCTCAGGCCTGGTCCCACGATAACCCTGCCCTGGGACCTGAGGCAACCTGCTCGTTGCTCTGCTCTGTCCCATTCCCTCAACAGAAAGACCTGTCCTCATTCCAAGTGTCCCCAGGGCTGTTGCCTTTGCCGGGCTTGAGAGCCCTTCTGTAGAATCTGGAGTGGGCCAAGGAGAGCCTGGCCATGCCAGAGGCTGCAGCTAACACCCTCACTGTAATGGCAGGGTCTGTATCTCACACCTCAAACAGCCACAGTGAGGGCGGGGCTGCAGAGCAGAGGAGCCCAGCAGGGGGCAGAGTTCAAGCTGGTGGCCCTTAATCTCTGGCTCTCAGCAGAGGTGAGCAGCAACAGACACCAAACCCCACAGGCAGCAGGGACCTGTGCCTTGCTGTACTCCACCTTTTAAAACTTCACAGTCCGAGTGTTTCAGATTTTTAGAAAATGTAATCTTCAGGAAAATGTAGGGTGAGACTCTACCTATGTAGGTCTTCCTGGGGACCCTGAATGGAGAGCCTGCTCGCCCACCCTGGGCCTACCATCAACCCCCAGGCTTCTGAGAACCCACCAGGCACAGAGGTGACCCATTCCAGGTAATGGTTGTAGAGCCAAGCACGTCTCCCTGGAAGTGCAGTCCTGTGCCTTGCGAGTCCCCATGTCCATGCGCCATCCATGCTGTCACTGTGGAGCTGCCTGGCCCCTCCCACCTACTGCCCTGTGCTGTTCCCACTGGAGTGGATCCTCCCAAGCCTGACAGGGACTGCAGAACAGGCTGCCGGGAGGGCTGGTCTGGTGCAGCCTATCTGTACTCATCTGTTTCATTTCCACTTCTTGTCTTGAGTCTTGTTGTGTATCAGCTGTGGCCTGAGGGCACTTGGGTGGCTCAGCCACCATTCTGGAAGGTATCTAGTCCCTCAGCAGAGGGAACTGTCACTTGGCCAAGGCAGTGGCCATGGTGTCCACCCCTAGCCTGTGGAGTCAGGGCTCATGCGCCTCATGTCTGTCATGTCCGTATGTCTACAGTGTGCCTCCTGTGGCACCCTGCATGCTTGGGCTGGTTTGTGTGACCTGTGAGCTGCGTCCTCTGTGTATGGGTGAACCACTTCTTGGGATCAACCTGGGGGCGGGGGCTTACCAAACTCTAGCAGGCCTTCCTTAAGGACATTGTCAGGGCCATCCACCCCAAGTTGGCAAGAGAACAGCTAGTCCTCACCATCATGCCCACTCTGCTGTCCAGCGTGGAACATGTAAGGTGACCGTGGGTAGACATGGGAGGGGCTTAGGCTTTGACACAGCACCCAGCTCCAACCCTGGCTCCAAGAATAGGCCATCGGGGTCTAGTGCTGGGGTCCCAGGAGTAGCCTGGTGGCACAGCTTAACTGGAACACCTGCCCAAACTAAAACTGCTCTTCTTTCCCCAGGAATCCCTTCGCCAATGTCCATCTGAAACCAACAGTGACCAATGACAGATCAGCCCCTCTGCTCAGCTGACGGGCTCATCTGCGTCCCCGCGCACGCAACCGAGGGTAACTGCGGTGTGTCCCTTTCTGGAGAAGACAGCCTTGCCCCACTCCTTAACACGGCCTCACGTCAGCCCAGCCTGGGCTGGATCCCAGGTGTCCTGGGGAGGTGGCTGCTTCAAGAGGTCAATGCCCGCTAGCCATGGGTGTGCCCCAACAGAGGGGCCAGCACTGAGGGGGCAGGCATCTCTGATCCCAACTGTGGAACCTTGAGTGCCTCTGAACACAGAAGAGGACATTCTGTCAGCTTGTAGCTGGAAGGAATCCTGTTCCCATGCTGATTTTTTTTTTTTTATTTTTAATTTTTTAGCTCACGTGTCTGGTCAATAAACATGCCCACCTGTGTGCAGTGTGTGATCTGTCAGCCTGGTGGCATGACCAGGAACAGGGTGGGACACACCCGTACCCTTATAAGAGTGATTTCTCATGAGCACAGCTATGCTGTTGTGCCCAGAAGAGAGCCCGGGCCCAGCCCAGCCCCCAGCCGATTCCCTGCGTCAGCCAAAACGCAGGACCTTTATAAAACTTCGTCAGAGCCGGGCGGTGGTGGCGCACGCCTTTAATCCCAGCACTTGGGAGGCAGAGCCAGGCGGATCTCTGTGAGTTCGAGGCCAGCCTGGTCTACAGAGTGAGATCCAGGACAGGCACAAAGCTACACACAGAAACCCTGTCTCAAAAAAAAAAAAAAAAAAACTTCGTCAGACCTTTGAATGCAGCAGTGTGGTGAGCTGAGTTGATGAGAGAAGTTCTCGGTGCAGAGCAGACCCAGGCAGAGCTCCTTCATCGGTTCCCCCAGGAAGAGCTCTGGGGCCACCTACCCATCAGGCAGGCACATAGGCTAGCCTCGGACAGGGCAGAGTGGGGAGCACAAGAGTGCAGTTACCAGTACCCTGCCTCCCACCCCACCACTGCCGGTTGAGAACAGGCTCGGCTGAGGACAGGGCTCGGGGAGGCGGGTGCCTGCTCTGGGAGGCCCCCTTTCATCTGACCTGAGAGAGCCTTCTCGAGGGATAGGAGAGGACTGAAGGGGCGAAGGAACAGAGGTGACAGCTAGGTTCCCCTTCTGTCATCCCCCTGAGGGTGTTAGCTGCAGACGGGAAAGAAAACACTGAGCACAAAGGCTGTTTTTTCTTAGCTTGGTTTCTCTTAAAAAACAAGGAACAAGAAAATCATTGCACCAGCGTCCTAAGCCTCAAACTAAAAACAAAAACAAAACAAAACAAAAAACATTGCCCCCACCCCCAAAGCAACAATATACTTTACATGTCTTTGGCAACAATAACTTAGAATCACCCCATTTCCATTCACTCCAGCAAGTTACAAAAATATTCCCTGTACAGCCCACCCTAGCCCTGTTTTCTCCCAGCCCTGCCTGCAGGCAGGAGCCCCACAGTGGCTGTAGGGTACACCCTATTCTTCTCTGGCCAGGGTAGGGGGCAGGGCACTTCTCTGTAAGGGAGTGTTTCCCACACTACCCTGTCTGTAGAGGGCATCTCTGGGGCAGTCCGGCTGCGGCCTGGAAGCCTCGGCTACATGGCAGGACCTAGGCCAGAACAATCCAGACAGACCCTGTGGGGAAGGGCTTCTGCAGACGCAGTGAAGGGGAACCGCCACAGACTCTGAGATAAGGGCTTGGAGCCCAGGGGTCCAACCTTGCTCTGAGCAAACCTAGACCCAGGTAAGAAAGGGGGGGGGGACCCAAAAGGGACCTTCAGGCTTAAAGCCATCTTGAAACCTGGCCAAGTGTCCTTTGAACACAAGGCAGGATGTAGCCAACAGGGCATGCAGGCCCTTGGACTGCATGATCCTGGCCTGAAGCCAATTCACCGACAGCCATCTAGGAAGAGTGGCCGCAGGGTGGGGGTTGGGGGGTCTGTCCAGGAGTGAAGAGCCACCTAGGGGTCAGGGGGCCCTTCTTGAGTGTGTATGTATATGCTTACGGACACCCACAGGCCCTCAGGCTACAGGTATGTTCAGGGGCTAGCAGCAAACCCCAGTGTTCACTCGGGACACATCTACCATCAGGCAGCACAGAGGAGGTACCCGACCCAACACGTCCAGGGCTAGATACAGGCCTCTCATCCACCTGCTTCTCCAGGATGCTGTGGGGGTGCCGATGGTCCCCATTCATTCCCGGTCACCATCCTTGCTGCTGCCTGGATAGGATGGCAGGGGCTCCAGTGACGCCAGACTCCGAAGGGTGGAACTACCTGGGTCTCAAGCCTCTGTGTATCGGCCCCTAGCACTTGATGCTGGGCCTGGTAAAGGGATGCTATGTGAGCATGTGGGGAGGTAACCAGACACAGGTCCTCACACACCCAAACCCACCCACCCCCACAACTGCCTAGCCCACCAACAGGCCTGTTCAATGTGGTAGACCTGTGTGTGGGTGGGAGATGGGCCCATTTCTCTTCCCATGAACTGAGGCCCAAACAAAGAGGACATGGTCACCGTCATGTAGTCATCTCCTTGTGCCAGAGATGAGGCTGACAAGTCCTCTCAAGGCTACCTACCACAGCCAGGGGAGGGTAAGAAGTAGACAGAAAGGACTTGTCAAAACTGTGGGTGGGCTACAGGAGGTAGACCTGGCAGAGAGGAGCCTGCCCTGGTGCAGGTAGTGAAGAGGGCACATGACTTGACAGGGTGGGCCGTGGTACCACCACTTGGGTAAAGTCCTGACAGGGACTCCTACCTACCAAGAACCTCAGAGCAGAAGTGTGCCAGTAGATGGCAGTAGTAGAGACCTCCATGCTGGGATTGTTCTAGCAAGCTGTGGGAGGCCAGGGTGGGGCCGAGAAGTGCAGAACAAATGCTCAGTGCCAGCAGTCTGCTGTGGAGGGTAGACTGGGCAGAGGGAGGGCAGGTTCTGGGACCCAGGAGGCAGGAGGCCAGCGTACCTGGACAGTGTCTGCCCAGAGGCCAGGAGCCAAACACTGTTAAGAGGGCAATGTCCAGCAGACCAGGGGCCATCAAGCCTCCCCTGCTGACCCCTCTCACAGATGCCCATCCACAATGTCCCTCCACCCCACCTCAGCCCCACCACACTCACCTCCCACCGACTGGGTATCTGAGTCAGACACATGAGTGATGGAGAAGCGGGACGCAGGTGTGGGAGACACGGTGAAACGTGAGAGGGGTGCAGCTGCCGTGGTGGGCGTGGCCAGGACAGGGTCAGCAGGGTCCAGTGCAGTCACCATAGCAGCCTTGCCCGGCGCCAGCGGGAAATCATCATCCCATTCGAACCTACTGCCTGCAAGTCAGGCCAGAGTCACTTTCCTTATTCCATCTCCCGGCCCCCGCTTCAGGTGACACCACATTCTGAACCCGCCTCCCATGACGGTGATGTCACCATCTGGCTCCCAACACCTGGCTCACCCTCTTCAGGAGTGGAGCTGTCGGGCAAGTGGTCAGCTCGCCGCGGCAGGCCAGGGGCACTGGGTGAGCCGGGGCTACCCTCCAGGAACGTGGGGAGTGATTCCTTCGTGCTGGGGAATGGCTCCCCAGTCTCTCGGGTGGGGCTCTCCTGGAGGGGCAGAGCACTGTGTGACTTGGGCTGCCCACCCTCTCCCAGCCTGTGCATACCCACAGCAACAGCCCACCTGGTCGAAGAGGTAGACCGTGACGTCATCAAAGAAGGACACAGCCTTCTTCTTGCGCTCCAGGTCCTCACAGAAGGCCTCAGACAGAAGGCTGGGCATCTTCAGCAAGCTACGCAGATTTCGGGCACTCTGGCTCTCAGCCACTACCACAGGCACCGCTGGTGGCTCCTCCTCACTGTCCTCGCTGGGCTCCTGGATGCTGTAGCATCGAAGCTCCTCATCAGATTCGTCACTGTCTTCACTGTCCTCTTCGTCCTCTGGCCGGCCCTCCAAAGCCCCAGGGTGGCCAGGCAGGGCCAGGCAGAGTGGGGATCTGGGTGTGCTAGGGCTTCCCATCCGCCCGAGCTGGGCCGGCCCTGACAACCGTCCTGGGGGACCCTGGGGCTCCATGCCATTGCCTTCTGAGCTCAGTGGGACTGAGGTCAGCAGGAAACATTTGGAATGACTAGGGCTGGGCACAGGCTGCACCTCAACTGGGCCTTGAGCCCCAAGAGGCTCTGGCCCGTGGCCATCTGGCAAGGGCTCCCCTGGCTGCTGTGCTGGGGGCAGCAGCTCCCTGGGGCTAGTATCTGGGTCCTCGCTGGGCACCTCAGGCCCGGGAAAAGCCTGCACAGACTGATGCCCTGCACTAGGTGGGCTCTTCAGGTCTTGCTCCTTTTGGGAGTCCTGGACCCCACTGCACTTCTCAGGGCCAAAGGTGGATTCGGACTCAGCATCCAGATCCGAGAAATAGGCAGAGTCTCGGTAGGGGTTCTTCTTGCTGAGGCCACCAAGGGAGACAGGGAGCAAAGTCTCGGGCCCTGGGCTCTCACCCTCTGAGGCTAGCTCCCCAAAGGCCTCAGGCTCACTAGACTCATGTGCCTCTTTGAGCACAAACTCTGGAGACTCGTAGTTCTCTGTATCATAACCACTGTCCATGGCACGGGGCTGCCCAGCAGCGGGACCAGCAGCCAATGGGCTCAAGACCTCACAGCCACCATCGCTGGCTGAGGACGGGATGTCCAGAGAGTCGAGGGAGTCAGGGGTCCCCACCTGCTTCTGCAGACAGCGTAAGGCTGGTGCTATGCCTGGCTTCTCAGTGTGAGGGCCATCACTGGACAGGTCGGTGAAGACTCCTGACGTAGCCTCAGTGGCGTCCTCGTCCTCACTGCTAGGTGCCTCTTGCCCCAGAGAACTGCTGCAGCTGTCCAGGGTGAGGGCCGGCATAGGGACAGTCACCCGGCCGCCAGCAGCGGGCGTGGGAGCGGCAGGCAGGATGTCAGGAGCACTTGCCTCCTCCGAGGGAAGTGGGGCTCCTTCGTGGGATGGGGAGGGGACAGAAGGAAGGGATAGCTGGGATTCAGCGGAGCTCTCAGCCTCCTGGGCAAGTTTGGGTTCCACCTGGGGGTTATCACCCCCACCTGCAGCTGCCTCTGTCCAGGGGCGTGTGGCCAGGCAGGAAGCAGGTGCCAGGCCTTTGGCAGGACACAGAGGGAGCAGGCTGAAGCAGCGGCTTGGCTCCTGACCAGGGGAGGCTGCTACTAGCCCGGGCAGAAATTCTCTGGGATCCTCTTGGGACAGGGGGCGGCCCAGCTCAGGGGAGGCCCGTGGGGTCTGCTCTAGGCTAGAGCAGTCATCCCTGTAGCTGTCTGTGAAGCTGCTCACATAGCCAGGGTCCCAAGATTCTGGGTCTCGGCTGCCACTGTTATTATTGGCTGACACATTAGAGCTCCAGTGTCCACACTGAGCAGCTTTCCTGTCTTTTCCCCCTCCAGCTCCTCATCGCTGGGAGATGCCTGGGCCTCAGGACTGCCAGAGGGAGATGCACTCAGTGGGTCATCGAAGAAGGGTGGGCAGAAGGTAGCCACACCCCAGTCTATGTCTTCAGCTGGCAACATTGGGGTCCCGGGAGAGGGTGAGCGTGAGGGGCAGGATGGCTCTTGCCTCCTGCATGAGTGGTGGTCACAGGGGCCCCACAGGCCCCCGACGGGGGGTGCATGGCCCAGCAGTGGTTCCATGACGAGGGAAGTGGTGGTGCTGTCCTCTGAGTTATTGTCTTGGTCAGTCACAGCTTCGGGGCTGGGAGCACAGCCGGCACAGTCCGGATCATGGCCAGCAGCAGGCACTGCCCCCTCTAGGCGGATGAAGTACTCGCTGCCCACTGAGGGGCTGTGGGCACTGAGCACTGGCACCACTCCCGGTGGAGAGCTATCAGGTGCACAGAACTCCTGCAGACGTGCCGCCGAGTCTGGGCTCGACACACCCCCCAGGGGTGGGAATGCCTCCGCGCCACAGCCAGCCTCCCACTTGTATTCAAAGTTGAGGCCGTGGCTTGTTTCAGTTACTGTCAGCACATCGTCGCTGTCCACGTGAAAGCCGTCGCTGGTGAACTGCTCCAGCAGTGGGAAAGACGAGGCAGCGGTGAGCTCGGCAGCAGCAACCGCTGGCCCGGTGGAACCTGACCCCAGGCCCGGGCCGCCACTGGGCCGCAGGGAACGCCAGCGCCGCTCAAACTCCTCCTCCAACTCTGTGGTGCCCTTGGCACACAAGTAGGACAGCAGCAGGTGGACCTCTTCGGCTGTGGGCCTCTGCTCTGGCTGTAGCCAGCAGAATTGCATCACTTCGTACCTGCCGGGAGGCCCTCATGGGTGGCCCTGGCCACATCCAGAGGCACACTGGCCAGGGGTATAACCTACCCTCCAAGGAGAGTCAGTTCCCCCATGCTCAGGGTACTTTGGGGACAGTTAAGGCAATCTCCCAAGGCAGGCCCAGTAGTGTGGGAAGGGGTCTGGGGTGGGGGGTATTTCCCTGGGATCCCCCATGCCTGTTCAGGCCGCAGAGACCCAGAAGCCATATAGAGTTGGACCAACCAGCCCCAAGCTGTAGAGTTCAGCCACCTGTGCCCCTCTGTCCTGCCTGTCTGGGTGTGGGTGTGGGAGATGGGGTCCTTACCAGCGATCAGACAGAGTCAGCTGCAGCTGGGGCTTGGGCAACTTAAGCTGCTGCTCTCGGACGGCGTAAGCCAGCACCTGCCGGTCCGAGTGCTGGGGATAGGGCTGTGCACCCAACTCGAAGAGCTCCCAGATGGTCACACCCAGGGACCTGCAGGGGCAGCCACAGTAGACATGGCTGAGCGTGACTGCACAGGACTCCTGAACCCTTGCCGTCACGCCAGCCTGCCCAGGTGGAGCTCATTATGCCACAGCTGCCCCTCTCTAGGGGTACAGGTGCAAGTCAAGGCCCTGTATCCCAGAAGGACACATGGCCTACAGCAGTAGCTCATGAAGGGTCCCTAACCTAAATGTGCACTTCAGCCCCAGTATCAGTGAGTGTCAGTTGGTCCTGTCCTGAAAGCACCACACCCTTGACTGTCCAGGAAGTCCCTCTACCAGAGCAGGGACCGCAGGAACCGACCAACAGTTGGAACTAGTAGCCCATGAGTGACCTCACAAGGCCACATGGTGGCAGGCATGAGCACACTTTCCCTGGGTGCCAGCCTGCACCCTAGCCAGAGAAGGAAGTGGGAATGTTGGAGTAGGAGGCAGAGCTGAAAGCCAGCATCCCCGCCAGAGCATCTGGCACTGCGGCATCTGGGCAGGCGGCATCCCTAGGCCCTCCCAGCAGCCAGACCTGCACTCACCACACATTGCTGGTCTTGGTCTGATCTACCACCAGTAGGTTGCCATGCACCTCGTCTACCAGTTCTGGCGCAATCCAGCGCAACGGCACCCACAGCTGGTCGGTGGTCACGAGGTAGTCTTCCTGCAGCACACAGGGGCAGGATGGGAGTTAGCTGCAGCCACAGCTGCCCCTGCCTACAGGCCCCGCCTGCCCTCACTCACCCTGTATTTGCAATGTGACAGACCATAGTCGCCAACCTTCACCGTCAGGTCAGCCGTCAGCAGGCAGTTCCTCAGGGCCAGGTCACTGCAGGGTGGTAGGCAATGTCAGCAAAGCTTGCCAGCCTGGGGGTGATTTGGCTCCTGGGCGTGGCCAGGCAGGCAGACAGGGAGGGATGTCTGAGGAGCACCTGCCTGTGTTCCAACCCTGGCTCCACACCCTGTGCTGGCTATCTTGGAAGACCTGTGTGGACGGCACTTTGAACACGGCAATGCACGTGAAAATCACCCTGGGAGATGCTCAGGGACTCCCAGTAAGGTGCCGCCTGGCCAACACTAGAACTCCAGCCCCTTCCAACCCTTTTCCTGACCTGCCCCGCAGGGGCCCCAAGCCATCAGCGAGGTCTGGTGTATCTGCAGTGCCCTTCTGGGACCATCACCCTTCCAACCTCACCACGCCACACCATCGCCTAAGTTCTCGGGAGGTTAGAATTAATGGGGAAACTGAGACCTAGAGTGTGGCAGAGGGTCCTGCCAACAGTCATAGCCCATGTTCTAGAGTGTAGGCCTGCCCTGCTACGCAGAGCTAGAACTCAAGTCTAGAATGGGCTGGACCACAAAGCACCACCCCGGACCTCCTCCAACTCATTGGCAAGCCTGGGATGCCAGCTTCCATGCGCTTGCCTGGCTGGAGGCCACACGAGTGTTCGGGCACAGGATTACAGAGTGGTATGGGATGTGTCTGCCTGCATCTGCCATACTGTTGCTATGCAGAAGGTCTCCAGGTGAAGATGGAGCCATCGTGGAGCCTGCCTCTACCCCAGGAGGACTATGCCAGGGGACAGCTGCAGGGCAGGGTGGCCTGGGTCCATGCCTAGGGCTGGGGCAGCTGGGGCAGCAGGCGGGGCAGGAGGCTGGCAGCTGCCCTCTTCAACAAAATCACTGATGCTGGAGTTGCCTGTGTCATCACTCAGCACCAGGATATTGTTGGGGAGGACGGCCTGGGCCGTCACTGTGCTGACGGCCTGTGCCGCGTCGGGGCTGGCAGGGCCACTCGTCCGTCGCCACTTCTTCCAGCACGTGCCCCCGGCTCACGGGAGGCTGGGCATCCTGGCCTGTCTTTTGACCACCAGAGGCAGGACAGAGCCACCCCTCCCAATGCAGGACCGGCCCAGCCGCCCCCTTTATGGCATGAGGGAAACAGGCTGGGGCTGAGTGTGGGGCCCAAGTGTGGCTGGCCGCTATAGTAAACAGTATGGGCCTCTTCGTTTAATTGTCTACAAAGAGAGTTTCAAACTTCAGTCTTGGCAATTTTTATTTATTTATTTTGAGGCAGCCCCGGCTGTTCTGAAACACACTCTGTAGACCAAGGTGGACTTGAACTCACCGAGATCTGCCTACCTCTGCCTCCGGAGTGCTGGGGTTAAAGGTATGAGTCACCACGCCCAGCTAGGATTTATAAAATTCCTTGCAGAGTAGCTATTGGATGCTATGTAGATGAACTCAGGTCATGAGGCCCCGAAAGTGGGATCACCATATGACTTTCTCATACAGAGGCATTCTGTCTGAGGATCAAGGCACTGGGGGACCAATGGCCTGTGTGGTCTCATTAGCCCTCACCTGTGGACGTAGTTGTGACGATGTAGATGCAAGACCCCACATGCCACCTCACAGGCCATGCGTTGCAAGGTCAGGGGGTCAGGCGCCATGGACTCGGTCACCCGGCAGCTCCGTAGATAACCTTTGAGGTCCCCCTGCCGAGAGAGCACACAGTGACCTGCTCGCTGTGCAGCCCACACCCAAGAGAACCTGGATCTGGTGGCCTGAGGACCAGCTGGCAGCCCGAGTGGTCTCAACTCTGCCACAGTGGCCTCCGTATAGCAGCCCCAGCTTCAGCTTCAGAGCAGTGTGTGTAAAGGGGCCCAAGGCCAAGACCCAGAACTCAGGCTCTGCCCCAGGAGCTGTGTGAGCCCGGTGGCGGGCCCTCATGCTGAACTGCCCAAGCACCCCATGTGGGCCCCGCTGCTGTTGGCTCACCCTCTCTGAGCAGGCCTCCTCTGAGACAGCGCAGGGCAGGGACTACCAGGACTCCACTTTAGGGGTGTTGAGGGTCCCAAGAGGTACAGCTGGAGAGGAGCCCCACCCCCACCCCTACCCCCGCTCAGAGAGGCCTCCCACCTCCCTTCAGGACAACCATTTGGAACAGGACCCGGAGAGCCAATGCTGCCTCCCACAGATTGCCACTTACTAGCGGACAGAACTCCATAACCAGCAGGTAGGGGGTCACCTCAGCACACTGGGCCAGGCACTGAAGCAGGTTGCTGTGCTGCAGAGCCCTGGAAGAGCCCCGGGCATCTGAGTTGGAGGGCAGCATGGGGCAGCCAGGCCCCAGCACAGTACCCCCCTTCCCACAACCGCCCAGTTCTCCCGCTGTGCTGATCCCCCACCACTACCGCCACACCCACCTGTAGGGCTGTGCCTCCTCCAAGAACTGCATCTGCTCCTGCACGCTGGCGCTGGCCTTCAGCTCCTTCACCACCACCTGTGTGCCACTGACGCCCGAGTGTACCTCCCCCAGGAACACCTGCCAGAGGTGGCAGGCATCACCGGGGCCCCTTCCAGTCTCCATAGGAAAGGCCACTTGGCTCCGAGTGCCTCGGGTGGTTGTGCAGCTTGCCACCAAGACCTCTGGCTGGGACACTCAGCCCGGGTCCACCTCAAGGCTCCCACTTTTCTCACTCTCTGAGGTCCACGATGAGGAAGGAGTACTCGGGTGCACAGTCCAGTCAGGGGTGTGTGTGTGAAAAAGAGCCCCTCCCCAGGGGACTCCCAGGAGAAGCAAGCACACACCTTGCTATTCCCACCACCCTGAGGTATGCTTACCTTCCCAAACCAGCCGTGGCCAATCTCCTTCAGGTACAGGAGGCTGTGCCGGCCCAGGTCCGTGGACTTGAGAAGTTGCACTGTATTAAAACAGGAGACTCAGGAATGTAACCTCTACTACCTCTCCATCTTCTTTACCAGGCTCTCCAGGGCCCAGGGAGCTACCCCAAGTCCCCCAGCCAGCAAGGCTCCGCTGAAGTGGAAGCCACATTTGAGGGCTGCCATCAAGGGCCAGTGTCTCTTAGGCTCTGGGGTGATAGCTGTAAGCAGAGCCATAGATCTCAATCCATATCCAGGCATATTTCTAACCAAGCCTGGGGAAGTGTACTCAGAGTCACAGGGATAAGCCAAGCCCAGACAGCAGGGCCTGGAAGGCAGTTTTGGATGAGGCAAGAAGCTGGTGCTGAGGCCTGGGAAGACACCAGAGCGGCCCACCCCCCTACCCCTGCCACAGGCTGGCATTCAAACACCAGTCACACCAAAGGCGCCTTTGTTGGGGGCTGCTTGGCACAGCCCTGTACAGGACACACTGGGCCCATTCTCCCTGTAGGCCAGGCTGGGTGAAGTCAGTGGAGAAGGGTCAGTATGGGCAGAGAGGAAAGGGCTGGGACTCATTGCACCCACTCATACCCCCTCAGATTCCCTGAATTCTGCTCCCACGCTGATAGCCCAGAAGGCCATAGTTAGAGCTGTTGGGAGGGCCCAGGGGAGCGGGCAGCCCTCAGGGACTAATAGACTCAGGGAATGTCGGCTTGGTGCCCAATTCATGGGAGAGTCTCACTGGGCCTTGTGTCCTAGGACTTATGCTCTGAACCGCAGTCTGTCTGGATGCCTGTCTTCCACCCTGGGGCTCTCTAGGACCTTGGTTATCCAAGAGCAGGTTCAGGGTCCAGACAATGGATACCAGTACAGCAACAGGGCAGAAGAATGCTTCCACATTGGGAGCTAGAGACGGGGGCTCAGGCTCAGGTGGGGGGACCCATCCTCACTCCAGATTTCTCCCAACTTGTAAGAAGATGCTCCCCCAGAAACAACAGAGCTGAACAGAGCTGAACAATGGAGAAAGCATGACCTCTGCCCTCGCCTGGGCCCCTGTCCACCCTTGTCCTCTGTCTCCCAGGAGTGGGGGCCAGCTAGGATGTGTGGGGCCTCAGCTATACCCTTGTCCCTGGACAGACAGGTCCAGGACCAATGCAGGGTAGTAATGCATCCTGTGAGCCCCTGGCTCCCCACTCACCCCTGGCTCCCCACTCACCCCTAGCAGCATCTACGGTTAGGTGATGCATGAGGCCTCCAGGAAGGTCCAGGCCCCTGTGTGGCCAAGCCTGCTTGCCTCTTTTGAGGTGCTAGGGATAGCTGCAGGCCTCTAAGACAGTAAATAAATGTGTTCATGACATGGACCTCCATGCCTGGATCCTGCCTGACTTATTTGTTTGTTTGTTTGTTTTGAGACAGGGTTTCTCTGTGTAGTTTTGGTGCCTGTCCTGGATCTCATTCTGTAGACCAGGCTGGCCTCAAACTTAGAGATCTGCCTGGCTCTGCCTCCCGAGTGCCGGGATTAAAGGTGTACACCACCACTGCCTGGCCTGCCTGACTTTTGAGCTCTCCCCCATGAGACTTAGTGGGCCCCAGGCGTATGCATGCAGCGTTGGGCCAGGAGGGCCTATCGCAGTCTCTATTAGCTCAAGCAGGTACTAAGACCCCTAGCCCTTGATGGAGGCTGGGCCCCTGATGGGAAGTATTGAGAGCCTGGGGGGCTGACCCAGGGTTGAGGTAGAGAGAGGGGCCTACTTTGTCACCCACAGTGATGAGACCTCGGGGCCAGCGGCGCTCTCAGTTTGACTCCCGCCTCAGTATCCCTGGAGCCATCAGATGGAAACTTCTAGCCTGGAAAGGTAGCCATAGTCCCAAGGGACTATCTTGACTAGGGCAGAACTGGGCTTCTAAAACTCAGCCATTTGCCTGTCACTTCTAGAGCCTAGGAGGAGGGAGGGACTGGCTTAGAGGGGAGTGACTCTGGAGGAAGTCAAAGAGAGGGGTAGGCAGAGGGCAAAGGGGCCACAGGATGGAGCCCTGCCTACACTTGCCCACAGGTGGGACCAGACCTCCCTCTGCTGTGTGGGCAGGCCCCGTCTGGCAGGCATAATGAGGCTATGTCCCTATGGGGTTGGGCACAAGGCAGCAGGAATCTAGGGTAAGTATGGTGGAAACGTCGGAGAAGGGCCAATAATCCCAGAACCAGCGTGTTGGGCCACCTGCCCGTTACTGCCCCTTCACATAGCAGCCCCTCGGGTGGAGAAACGGCAGGCGCAAGGCTGCTCTCAAGCCTGCTGACAGCTGGCCCCCAGATCCAGAAGGGGGTTCATGCACCTTCCTACACAGCCCAGCCTGAGATGCAGCCAAAGAGCCTTGGCCACCCACCGCATAGGCCCCAAGAGTCCCCATCCCAGAACCAACTTCTCAGGTTTCCACAGCCTCCTGACCCCAAGACACAATGGAGGGAGGGAGACAAGTCCACTTACCTGAGCGCCCCGGCTGCTTGGCCATGGGCAAGGAGACCTCAGTGAGGGGCAGGACATACACATCGGGGCCGTTCTGCGCAGCTGCAGCCGGGGAGCCCTGCTCCGAGAAGTCGGCCACATACTCGTCCCCCTCGGCATTCTCAAACTCCTGTAGGTTGGGCCAGCACAGATGGGCAAGCAGGTGTCACAGAGGGTCAGGGGAGGCGTGACGGGATGTAAAAGGCCCGTTTCCCAGTGCTCAACTGGACCAACACAGAGCTAGAGCGTGTCCCCCTGTTGTCCCCGAACACCTGTTCACAGGCCCTGACTCCTCCAGGACGCCAACCCCAGGGAGGGCCGAAGGCATCAGCCTCAGGTGGGGCTGTTGCCCCCAGGCTGAGCCCTGCCGGGGGCAAGGACTAGAGACAAAGGTCAAGGCAAAGAAGCAGAGCCACCCTTCACGGACCCCATGAGTGCTCCCCTCCTGGCTTGGAGCAGATTCACGGTCAGGGGCTCCATTGCTCATGCCTGGGAAAAGTAACTAGGTGTCCCCATCCCTAGCTGGACAGGGAGCAAGGAACCCAGGGACTTGTTCACCACCCCCATCTCCACACCTGCCTCTAGGCAGTGGTGTACCCTCATCCACGGTACCACCGCTACCGCCACCAGTGCCCAGACCCCCCGAGAGCCTGCGGCTGGACACCCCTGGAGGCCACTCTTGGGACAGGCTGCTATTTTGAAGAGTAGAGGTCACCCCACCCCCACCCCACGGCATCTAGAGCACCTTCCAAGCAGAGTTAGTCTGGGGTGGCCACAGCCTAGTTTCAAGTGAGGACAGGATTAGTGGCAGAGCACTTGCCTAGAACCACAAACAAACAAAACAAAAACCAAAAGGGGGACAGAGTGAAAACAAGGCCAGCCTGTCCTCGGCACTGGGCAAGTCTCCCGGCCATGCTGTCCCACCCGACATCCCCAGGTGGGGACCTGAGGCTCTGAGGACCGGGCACCAACTAGAACCTGGCTACCCACTCCAGGTCACATCCCTGAGGACAGACAGTTAAACGTACCCTGGGGACCTCTTCTTTTTCTAGGTCATTTGTCTCTCTGTAAAGGGGGTGGCCCTATGTTCCTGGTGGCCAGCCCAGGTCTGCACTCTGAGAACAGAGCCACCAACATCAGAGGGAACTCTCCCTCCCCAGAGCCTTGAAGGCCACCTTTGAGTTTCCTCTAGTCCCACACACCTGGGCCTGTGATGACCACCACCTCCCCCTTTGCATTAGTTCTGACTCCAGTCGTTACCTTCCCCTGCCGGAGAGCCAGCCGGGTTCCCCCAGTGCAGCGGGAGATCAGGTAGCACAGAGTGAGCATTGGGGCTGCCAGCCCCTGCCCAGAACAGCTCCAGCAGGGAACCCACTGTGGAAGCGGGAGGCAGTGACCCTCCAGTCAAGGCACACTGGTGCTGGAATGTTCTGGGCACCATGTTCCCGAGGAGGTGAGAAGGGCGTGGGTAGGAGGGGCCGCCGCTAGTCCTTGTGTGGGGCCTTGTTCTCAGTGCCCCAGGAGGGGCTTGCTACACAATGGCCGCCAGCGTGGCACCCTGGGATCCCACCCCCACCCCCACAACCTCGAGGCTCTGCCCTCAAGGTCCTCCAGGAAAGAACTCTCCCTGATTGTCCCGCCTGTGGTCAGGAGACTGTCCCCTGGGATGGGGCACCAGAGCAGTGCAGACCTGCAGCCTCTGGGAGCCACCACAGTACCCACTGCTCAGGTCCTCAGCTCCCCAGTTTGGCTGGGAGCCTGTGCTACAAAAGGATAACAGCATTGGGTGCAGGTCACCCAGTAGGAGGTGCCCCCCAAGATACAAGCCATCCTCCCACCCTGACCTCTGCAGTGCAGAAACCCCACCTCCTGCCCAGCCTGCCCAGCATGGGTGCAGGAATGGGAGGGCTCTGGCCGGGCTTCAATGTGCTGACAGGCAAGGCTGTAGCCCCCACAGGCCCTGGTGGTGCCTACTCTGGGGGATCAGCCCTGCGCTACCCGCTTTCCGTCCTGCCTTCCTTGTTCAGAGCCACCGGATGACAGGAGTGGCCACAGGGCTGGAAGCATGCAGGGATGCCCCTGGGCCTCCGTCACTAGGGTGAAGGCCTCAGCTTGGAGTCTAGTCCCAGGGAGGTTGTAGTGAAGGGCACACGGCCTTCAGAGAACAGGCCACAAACAGGACCGCTGCTTTAGCTACAAAGAGGTACCCTTGTGTCTGGAACCTGATGGGTGTTCTCCGAGCAGAAGCTGCCCGAGCTGGGGAGGCTCCCAAATGATGGTGTGGGTGCTGGGGAAGGGTGTCTGTGTGGTCTCACCTTCCCTCTGCCTCAGTGAGCAGAGACCTAAGGGTCTCTTCACCGTGAGTGAGAGCGCTCTCAAGAGCCCTTAAAGGCTCCTTACAGTCATGTTAGTCTCGCTGGACACGGACAGGCCAGACCTGGTGCTGGAATGTGACAGCGTGAGGCCATGTCTACAAAGGGGGATCCCTTAATGAGGGGCAGGGTAGCGGGCCCCAGGAGCCCCCAAAAGAGAGGCTGTGGGATACCAGACAAGGGGTTCAGTCGGTCCCAGATGGCTCCAGAAAAACCAATCATCATGGCAGCCCCAGGATGGAGGGGAGCTGGGTGGTGGGTGGATCCTGTGCCCTCACCTTGAACCCAATGCCGCCCTTCTTACAGCACAGGCAGGCCAGCATGAGGACGATGACAGTGAAGAGCCCCGAGAAAGACACAGCCACCACCGCGAGGGAGGACGACCAGGACAGCTCACTGAGCGGGACGCCGTCTGCAGGAAGGAGAGCACATGCCTCCTCTTAGCCTCAGCCCGCGACCCCTTGCTCTGACCCAGCACCTGGACAGAGCCTTAAACCAACGGACCGAGGAACGGCCTTGTTAGCCAGAGCCTGCAGTCCTAGTGAAGCCCTGAGTGTGGGCTCAGCTCCCAGTTCCAAGGCTCATGGACACCTCTCCGTTATATCAGGGTCTTACACCACATAAAGACTCTCTATCGGGGCTGGAGAGATGGCTCAGCAGTTAGGAGCACTGGCTGCTCTTCTAGAGGACTTGGGTTCAATTCCCAGCACCCACATGGTGGATCAGCACCACCCCAACTCCAGTCCCAGGAGATCCATTGCCCTCTCTGGACTCCACTGGCACCAGGCACACACATGGTACACAGGCATGCATTCAGGCAAAAACATCTGCACACATAAAAATTTTTATTTAAAAAAAAATAAGATCCACACTCCTCTCCGGACCCTGTCTACCACTCTGTCCACTTTGGGACTAGAACACCAAGGCAGGGCAGGCAAGGGAGATCAAGGGGCTAGTTCTTGAAGGTGCCGGGATCCTGCTGGCGCTGAGAAGTTGCCCTGCTGGGTGCCAAGTGCCCCATATTCAAACCTCTGCTTGTCCCCCAGGTCCCTTGGCAGCAGAAACTCCTCCCTTCTTTAGCCCCTGATCTAAACAAGCCACCACATCTCAGATGGGGAAACCAAGGTACTTAGGACAGCAGAACACCACTCCCATCCTCTCACTGCTGAGCGTCGTCTAAGCTGGGGCTCCTTAGCAGACTGGCTGGGGGAAGCCAGCTGTATGACTAAGCTGGCTTGTGGGGCCAGCCCAGTGTGTCCACTGGACGGGAAGGCGCATGCTGGGGGACAGCTCTGCCTCCTGGGCCTGCCCTCCCTCAGCACACAGGCTCTGAGTCACCCTCTTCCCCAGAGGCCTTCTCTATCCGTGGTTCCTCATTAAACCCCTAGCAGTCTAGAGCACCCAGCACCTCTGGGTGCTAAGTCTCTGCAGCCACCGAGTCACTTTGTCACACTTGGGAGGACCCAGACTCTGCAAAGACGATGGCCCTGTGCTTCTGCCAGGGATTCTGGCTCACAAAGCATCTGGGAGGGCTGCCTGGAGGAAGAGTAAACCTGAAGGCCAAGAGATTCAGGTCGGAATTTCTACTTGGGTGCCTGTGAATACTTCCCACTCTACACCTGGAGATAAGAGGGTCCTTGTGAGCTAGAGTAGAGACCAGGCAGGGCTAAGGAACAAGAGAAGAGGGCAGCTAGCAAAGCAGAATGGGGGAACACCATGGCAGGGTAAACAGCTAGCCGCTAAAAGTCCGCAGGAGGTAGCCACTTTCATGGGACCAGTCCACATCCTGAGCCAATGCCCTTCCAGTGGCCTTGATAAGCAGGGTTTCTGGGTAGCCCTCATGTGTGTGCCTTGTACATGTGTGTGCCTTGTACATGTGTGTACCTTATATACGGGTGGCCCTGCATGTATGTATATAAACTGCTCCCATACCATGCAAATGGCACTGTGTACTCACACCTGAGTGTCACATGAGTGTAAGTGCAGAATCCACAACAGGGTGGACATGAGTGAGCATGTTGTGCACCCTTCCGCACCTCCAGAGAGCAGTGAGCCCCTTCAGACCACGCTGTTGCCATGGTGAGTCATCTCTCCTTTCTCTGTCCTGGTGCCGCTGTGGTACCAGTACTCCTTCCCCCCACACCCACTGCTACCTGCACTCATGGGCCCACTGATGGCCCTGTAGCCTGGAGCTGGCCCCCTAGTCTTCAAAGGCATGTCTGGTACCTCAGATCGCCCCCTGCTTACCCCCGGGCTGCATGGGCATGTGCCAGGTAGAAGCAACCTTGGAAGGGGCCAAGCTCAACTTCCGTTGCAGGCTGGCCCTGGCCTCCCATCGAGGCCACTGGCCTTTCTGTGGGTCCATGCCCTTCCAGTGGCCTTGATAAACAGGGTCCTTCTGACCTCCAGCCGGCCAGGGCCACAGAGGGCTGTGCTGAGGTGCTGGTGGGGAAGAAACACTCGGTGGGCTGTGTGGGAGGCACGGAGGTCCTTGTGCCCACAGAGAAGCACTAGGGGAGCCAGCAATGTTCCTTAAAAGAAAGTGTGGGGCTCAGCTCTCAAAGAAGGCAGGAAATTTTTTCTTTAAATAAAAACAGGGGGTAGGAGGTCAGTCTCTTACCCAAGGAGTTGGCACCGTGAGAGTCAAATAGCATGGGTTCTTCTCAGTCCTTGAGGCAAAGCATCTCTGAGACTCTGTCCAAGTGACTATGGTGAATTCAGTCCTTGATTTCTTTTTTTTTCTAAAGATTTATTTATGTATTATGTATACAGTGAGTGTTCTGTCTGCAGGCCAGAAGAGGGCACCAGATCCTATTATAGATGGTTGTGAGCCACCATGTGGTTGCTGGGAATTGAACTCAGGACCTCTGGAAGAGCAGCCAGTGCTCTTAACCTCTGAGCCATCTCTCCAGCCCAGTCCTTGATTTCTCAAACCAGGAATCACTGATGTTGAAAACTGGAAACACATGGGCGCTAACGTAAAAAGATCCCATGAAAGGGGGGATAAAAATCAGCCTGTGTAGTTGGGCGGTGGTACACACCTTTAATCCCAGCACTCAGGAGGCAGAGGCAGGTGGATCTCTGTGAGTTGGAGGCCAGCCTGGTCTACAGTGTGAGTGAGGAGGGGCACCCAAAGAGAAGGGGGTTGTCAAATCCCTATTTTGCAAGCTAGATTGCAGTAATGTATTACTTGGGCTCTCTCAGGAGAGTCATAAAAGAAAATAATAAAGTCCCTGCTGGACACAGCTTGTCAGGTCTTGGCAGGGCGGGAACTCAGAGCCCTCCAGCCACATGCTCACACTGAGGTACTGTTCTGCCACCTCAGGCCATGCTCGTCAGACTGCTTGTTCCAATCTGAGAGGCAGAAGTGGGTCTTCAAAAATAAAATTCTGCTGTTTATTTCAATTCAGGTGGCAGTTTACTTGGGTGAACCAAGGAGGACAGAGTCTTTCAGTCATGATGGGTAGCTGTGGAGCCTCAGTTTGCACATCCCTACCCATAATGGGTATCCTGAAGGAAGACTGAAGCTCAACATGAACTGATTTCATGTGTGAACTGGCACACGCAGGATGGAGACGCACTGGGAATGGGGACCAGCTTACGAGAGAAAAGGAACGTTGCTGAGGGGTTGTGGGTGTGGACAGGATGGAGTGGAGGGATGGAAACATTTGGGATGAGGTCCTCGGGAACAGAGTCTAAGCAAATGGGAAGTAGGAATGGGTGGGAGGTGAGTAGCTTGGAAAGAGAAACGGAAGAGGGGTCAGTGTCTCCGCAAATGAATCTTGCCCTAAAACTGGGTTTTGCTGATCTTGAAGTTTTCACCTAAAATTATTTTTGGTACAGCCTGAGAATCTGTTACATCAGAATGTCTGCAAAATGTAGTAAACTAGAACCTTCCAGCAAGTTCTTCTTCCGTGGAACTACTATACCTTGATAAAGTTCACGATTTTGTTTTGTTTACAGTATCAGCCGGTAAGCACTTTGGTGCTTGTCCGGGAAAGCAATTGTTTTCTCCTCCGGGATTTTCTGTGATTATTTCTCTGTACTTCTAAGCACCCTGTTATCTAGTCTTCTCCAGATCAGAGTTAAAATTGCCCTGAATTTTGAAGATCCCAAATCTTATGTAAATAGCCTTAGGTTTAAATCTTTAGACGTTAATAACCATTGTTAATTAAATAGGTTTGTTTGCAGTTTAGTTTTGTGCTTGCCTAGGTCTGACATAAATGACCAGACTCTGGCAAGGGCAGAAGTTAGAGGAGGCTCACAAGAGCCTAGCCTCTATTAAAGGCATAGTTTACACAGTATTCCAAGCTCCTAGTGCGTAATTAGTAGTGGGTGGTTCTCACAGCAGCCTAACATCTGGAACTAGGGTGTACGTGTCTGGGGCCTTCTCTGCCGTCAGGTAGAGACGTGTGCTAGGGTGCAGTATAAGCACTCATGGTGCCTCTCCCTAACTCGTCGGCTGCAGAGCATGGCTGCAAGCATGGCATGGAGCCCTGGGGAATCCAAGAAAATACCATTGTGTCATATCTGGAACTTGACTTTTCCAAAAGGCTCTTTATGCATTTCCTTCCTAGGATCCCATTACAACTGAAAGCTGATAATGGCCCTACTTTTCTGAGCACGGTTTAAGGACTTTTGCAATTTATGGAATATTAATTATGTTACTGAAATTCCTTACAATACACAGGGTCAAGCTGTTGTGGAACGACACCATCAAATACTTAAACAGCAAATTTTAAAAATAAAAAGGGGTATGTACACCCACCTACAGCCCCACATGCTATGCTGCTTTTAGCCATGCTAACTTTAAATCTTTTCATTTTAAAGGATAATACTTCTTCTACTACCCCAGCGTTTTGCCCAAAGGAGACCCAGCCTAAAGTGTATGTTAAGTGGAAAGACCCAGAAATTAATCAGTGGAAAGGGCCTGAGGTCCTAACATCCAAGAGAGGTCATATTTGTGTTTTTCCAGAAAATGGACACAGTCCCAGAAGGCTCCACTCTGATGCATCCGACCAGGACAGCATCCCAGAGACCACCGCACAGTGAAGTGTTAGGAGGCAGACCCATCAAGACGAGACGTCCCAAGAGGAAGAGAAAGTCTACAGCTTGGAGAGACAACAAGGAGACAGAACTACTGACCGACTTACATGTTAATTTTCAACTTGTCAATGCAGAATCCAAATGCTTTTTGTCTGGGGGATAAAAGCCATGCCTTTTTATAATAGATTAACAGAAGACAGTATGATGTTGTTTTGCTATGCTAAGCATTGTTTTTAGTTTTTTTTTATTACCAGTCCCAGGAGTGACTACTGGAATACATTGAGAAATTTCAAATATGACCTTATGATTAGTAAAACTACTAATATTACAGCAAAAATATTAGCAGAAATTAGTCAAGAGATGAGA